TTTTTTTTTTTCTAGTTCTTTACCTTGTTTTTTTTTTTAATTTTTTTTTTATTTTTTTTTTTTTTAACTTTATTTTTTATTTTATATATACATATATATCTAATAACATTTATATCTAAATGTGTGTTTTCTTCCTAATACAAGTTTTTTTTTTTTTTGCAATATATATAAATTTTACTTAAGGGATTCTTTGAGCTCATGCAGCCGTGGAGCCATTAGCTTTGGCTGCCAAGCGCATTACACCCAACCCGTACTCTAAAAACATAATTCTTTGTTTATCATTTTCCATAATTGTGACTATGTTGTTTTTTGTAATCGCGTGATCCATTATTCTTTCACAGTCATATCGTTGTTTTGCATATCTTGGACAGCTTAGTATAATGTGTTCTATTGTTTCAGCAGTAATGTTGTCACATACACAAGCTGGATCGGTTGTCAGCTTAAACCTATACAAGTATGACCTTATGCCACCATGGCCAGTGAAAAGCTGAGTACGTATGTTGGCATGATCGTCATTTTTGAAAATTCGATAAGCTACTTGGACATCGTTAAAGAACATTTTTAAGGAACTATTGGGATTATATTCCTCATAACGTTTTTGCCATACTAGCGTGGTGGAATCCTTTATTGCACACTTTGCATATGAGACGGGGAATTTATCTTATGCAGGCAACTTCCTAGATGTTAATGCAGCGTTTTTAGCTAGCTCATCTGCTCGCTCGTTGCCGCAGAGGCCATGATGAGCTTTGATCCAGGCAATTTCTATTTTTGTACCTTTTTGTTCTACGGCGGTTAACAACTCGCGTATTTCTGCAGCTAAGGGATGCAGAGAACTGGGGTCACTTATGGTTTGTAGCGCAGAACGAGAATCACTCAGTAATGTCACTGCTTCATAACTTTTTTGTTTTAGGGAAATGATTTGCAGGGCCTGTCTAATAGCTGCGAGCTCTGCTTGGAAAACACTGCAAAAGTTAGAAAGCCTTATTTTAGAATAATGATTCTCCATGCCCTCCTTCCAAAATGAAGCCGCAGCTCCGACCCTCCCGTCCAATTTACTTCCGTCAGTAAAGACGTGCCATCTAGTTTCAGTTAACTGAGCGAGGTCATCTGCTGTAGATATGATCTTAAATTCTCTGTGGCGTCGCAATGCGGGATGCGGAAGTCGAGATGGGTCGATGTCTCTTTCCACTTCATACCCAGGCAGTTCAGGGAGCTCATTCCCTCTTTTGATTTCGTACAAGGTGGCACGTTCTTCTGCTCTGAGATCTAGAGGAAGAATTCCAGCCAAGACTAACGAGGCAACAGTGGAAATCGTGCGATGTCCTTTACAAATTCTGATAGCAAAATTTCTTGCCAGGGAGTCAAGTCGTTTACGATTAGTTTTGTTTTGGGAAGCCTGGGCCCAAACGTTTGCGGCATAAAGAATAATCGGCTCCACCACAGAACAGTAGATAATTCTTAAGACGTTGCTATTTAAACCCCAATATGCGCTTGCTGCTCTAGATATTGATTTATATAATCTAATTGCTTTTTGCTGACGAGACAGAACATGTTTATTAAAATTTAAATTTCGATCTATCGTAAGGCCCAATATATTGATACTATCGGAAAACACAATGTCTGTGCCTTGAAAGATTAGCTGTGGGGCCCGGAACTTTAACTTTTTTGTTACTATCATGACTTGAGTTTTATGGGCAGCAAAGCGCATCTTGAAAGATTTACCCCATTTAGATACTTCGTTTAAGGCCTCAGTTGTGATTTTTTCTACTCTCTCTGTGGTGGATGCCGTGGCCACAATGACGATGTCGTCGGCAAACGCTTGAATATGAGCCTCAAGTTTATCAGCAGTCTGCAGCAAGGGGTCGAGCTGTATGTTCCAAAAGAGAGGTCCGCAGGTCGACCCTTGTATACAGCCTCTGCTCGTACATCTAAGGTTTTGGGCTCCAGCATACCTTATCTCGACAGTGCGATCTGACAGGTAACTTCCCACCAGTCGTATTGTGGCCTCGTCTATATTTTTGGCAGCAAGCTCTGTTATTACTGCTGGCCACCAAGCGTTATCAAACGCACCTTCAATGTCTAGGGCGGCTACTATTATAATCTTGTGCTGTCGAAGACCATCTTTAATTTTGGACACAATGTCGTACAAGGCATCTTCCGTACTTTTTTGCTGCGTAAAACCATATTGCCTCTTGCTTATTGCACCGGTCGAGCCTAGCGTCCATGTTATACGGCGAGTAAACAGTTTCTCTAGAACTTTCCCTAAAAGAGGAAGTAATCCAATGGGTCTGTAAGATTGCGGAACACTGTAATTACCTTTTCCAGGTTTGGGAATAACTTTAATTACAGCTCTTTTCCAGATAGTTGGGAAGTGCTCGATTCTAAGACAGGCATTATATAAGGCAATAAAAGTGTCGAAATTAGATAGAAAAGCATTTGTGCATATGTCGGACGTAAATCCGTCATAACCTGGTGCCTTTTTAGGGCTCATATCATTGAGTATGGAAAGAATCTCTTCTTTTGTACAGTTCTTAATTATGTAATCAGACTCAGTATTGGATCTGGAGATCAAGGCTTGCGCCTTTTCACGTACAATTCGGTGCTCAGTAGTGTCGGTGGTAGGTTGATCCGTAGGAAAAAAAGTCTGGCCTAGCAGTGCTGCCGATTCTTCAGCACTAAGCCTTGTTCCAGCAGTTGGATTTTCCAGTAGTTCGTCATCTCTTTTGGGTTCACAGACCTTTAACACTCGATAAATTCCTTGCCATACTGTCTCTCTGTCCTGTTTTGCACAAAATCCTTTCCAGCTTTCCGTTATAGCCAACTGTATTTCGTTTTTATAATTTTCTTTAGCTTTTAGGTATTCTTCAATTACATAAGGTTTCCTTAGTTCATTAGATTTATTAATTTTCTTTCTTAGTCTTTTAGTTTCTTGCTTAAGATCTCCTAATTTCCGTGTCCACCAGTACACTGGCTTGGCAGCACGGTCTTCCTTGATTCTGGGTATAGCTTCTTCGCAAGCTGTCTTAATGATTTCTGTTATCTGGTTGCAAGTTTGATCTAGAGCCCGTTTATTCGCTATTTCCTTAATAAAGTCACTATTTATACCTTCTTCATTCATTTTATTTTCTAGGATTCTTGTGAACTTAATCCAATCGGCTTTCTTGGTGTTAAATATTCGGGTTGTTGGTTTGGGTCTGATTGAGGGTGACTTAGTGAGCGATAAAGCAAAAGTGATAGGTCTGTGATCAGAAAGATGACTAAAATCAGGATCAACCGTCCATTCTTTGACTGCATGCAGCAAGTTTCCTGACACTGCTGTTACATCAATGTAACTGGCAAGTGTCCGGCCACCTCTTACTGTGTGGAATGTTGGTTCTGATCCGCAATTCAGGACTGTTAAACCTTTTTCAGCGAGAAAATCAGAGATTGTGCTGCCTCGTTGGTCCTCAGTGCAAGATCCCCACCATGGGCTTTTGGCGTTAAAGTCTCCTGCTAAAACTATATTTTTAGTCCCTAGTTTATCTAAGTTTCGGGCTATAATATCAATGTCATCGTCGATGGGTCTATCCCCTTCTAGGTAGACACCAATAAGTCCTACATCAATACTACCGATATGGATTTTAATGGCAACTATGTTGTTAGTTATAAGGTCTCGATTTAGGGTTATAGATATTGATTTGTCTAATATCACCAGCGCAGATTTGACAACGCCCTGACCATCGGTATTCTGGAACAAACCTGAAATGCCCGACATTTGACCTCTGTTTCCAACATAAGGTTCCTGAAGCATCAGTATAGAATATTTTCTTTGGATGGCTGTGCTGATAATGTCTTTTGTAGCCGCATATCCTCGTCCCAGATTAGCTTGAACTATTTTAATTCTAGTAAGTGTATTCTCCATGTCCTTTACTTTAACAATAATTTACTCTAGACCTAGCAATTCTATCCCATTTCTGCCACAAGGGACACTCCGAGCTGTATGCAGGATGTGATGGTGTTAGGGTCTTGCCATCTTTGCAACAGTTTATGCACTGTGGCGGTACTTCCCTCCTGGGACAGTCTCGTGTATCATGGAGGTCAGCACAGTACCCGCAAGTCACTTTCTCAGTGCATACTCTTGCCATGTGTCCGAAACCTAAGCACTTGTAACACTGCACAATTGGCGATTGGTCATAGGCCACAAGTACCTGGTACCCAACTCGTATCCTCTGGTCCACTAAAGCCCTCCATATTTTAGGATCTACTTCCATAATTGCGTTGGTGAGAACGTCATTTCTGCCTTTGGTGCGTCTTATTATCTTGATGTATTGTTGTTCAGCTGGTATATCCTCGATGAGAGTTTTATTCTGTTTGAGTATGGCCTCTGTAACTTGTGCATCATTGAGGTCTTTTGCCAAACCCGCAAGTTTTAGAAGTGGTGGCTTATTTGGCAGCTGCTTGGCCGACAAGCTTTGATCGGCTTGCCTAAGTGCCTCGCTGAAGCTCTTCTGCTCACGTTCAGATTCACAGCTGACAATGACCCGTTGGTTTTTTGACCTTCTGATTGCTGATACGCCGATTCCTCGATCTATGATGTTGACACTGCTTTTTAGTTTCTGGACAACGTCATCGGACGTGTGGCGTGGGTCCAGTGATTCGACCAAAACGTTATATCTCGGGACAGAAGGCAATCTGCGAGCAACTTGGGCATAAGAGCGACCATACTCAATTCGGGGCCCTGTATTTGATTGATTAACTCGGTCCATGTCCTGACTTAGATTCGTTACAGTGGATACTTCTTGAACAGGTCGCGACAAGAGGTTTGACAACTGCTGCTTAATTTCTGTAAGCGTCGTCTCAGGACCAAGAACATTGGACCCTTCGCGACTGCGTGAGTTATCCTGCAAGATGTCCTTCAACTCTGCCCTCTCCTTTTTGGCTTCCCCTAAATAACAGAGTACTGGGGCGAGCAATTCTTGAACGTTTTGGTGAGTACACAGGGATTTGGGATCTGAGTATTCAAATACAGAGGCCATAGACTGTTTTGTTTGTAAAATCTGAGTTAAGCCAGAAACGTCATTCTTTAACGTTGTAATGACCTCTTCCAGGTTAGCCATCAAGGATGTGTGTGGCTGAAGTTCCAATGCACGAAGTTGAGGAATACTATCTTTAGGTTGATGCCATCGTTCAATATCGGCTCGAGTACATTGTAGCTGCTCAAGAACTGTTTCCATCTTGCTGGCTAATTCAGCGAGTTGTATATTGATAGGTTGAGGTCCTACCCCCCCTGACGCGTGATAGATTCTTTCCTTGACTGTCGTTGTGGGTAGTGGTCTCGATGACAGTTCCTTTAACTCGCTGTAAGTATTGGCTATGGTTTTTAAGGGGCCGTCCAATTCGAGATTGATCCAATTCTTGATCTGTTCAGCTGTCTTGAGAGCACCCGCTGTATTTTCTTCGAGTTTTTTAAGTTTAACGGCATGATCCTGTTGTATTGCTGCGAGCTCTTTGGCATGGGCCCTCTCGCATCGTACTAGCTCTTTTGCGGCTCTCCCTTTTTCTTGTTCTAGAGCAATCATTTGCTTTTCTCGCGAATACGATAGCGAAAGGACGATTTCGTATAATCCTTGGAGACTTCCATTTACCTCTGTTTTACATTCTTTTTTCATGTTACCTGCTTTCTCAAGGGCATTTTTACCTTGCTGTAATATTTCATTTGCTCGTTGTGTTGTTAGGTCCATGATTATGCTCGGTTCCCTCCCTGTCGCAGGCAGCATACTTGCTCGTGCACTAGCTACGCTATCAGCATCTGACCACTCCTCATCAGAGCCCAAAAGCTCTTGTGATGGAATGGGGAGTCCCAAATGCAGTAGTTCCTTGCTAGGCTCATCACCTTCAGGAGCTGAACTCCTAGGAAGAGCCGTACAAGATTGCGCTCCTATCAGAGTTGTCTCTTTGCGTAGGGAAGGACCCGGTATTGACGAGGGTGCTTTGCTTGACTTTAGAAGCGGCTCGCCTTTAAGCGAAGATGATTTTTGTGGCATTTTTTTATCTGTCAATTTCTTATCTAACAGTTTTTTATCTGCAAATTTTTTATCTGACATTTTTTGTTGAGCGTTTGGCGGTTTTTGTTTATTTTAAGTTTTCTATCTTCAATATGTTTGTAGTCTTCTCCTTCTCACACCACGTGCTCACTAAGGTTGGAATCGATAGTCACACGAGTCTTAATAGGAAAATCTTAGCTACCTTAATGTACAAAACTCAAGAAATAACTGCTTTTGTTGCAATAAAATTTTGTCCTCCTCGATGTACTTTCGATTTTGTTGGCTGTTTTACATCAAAATTAATGTGTCAAATTTTAATGGCGCCTAACTTTTAGACCCGTTGTGGCAGTTTAATGTTATTAGTATCGTCAGACTCGCGACTGCAAGGGCTATCCGGTGGTACCAACAAATCGGCCCTGTCACAACGGGATCACTGACCACGTGGCCACGTGGTAAGTAGAAAAATCACTTTAACTTCACGAATCAACAATGGAAAAATTTAGTTTAACCAATATTCAGAAGAGGTCGCCAAGGCGCATTAAATGACGTATTGGAAAGTACACCTCACAGATCACTTTCAAGCAGCGTTTCACTTTTAGTGTCTAAAACTTAGTAATTTTTAAGTTATTTTAGTTGTAACTTTTAAACACTTTTAGATACACATCTGTACTTTCTCGTACTTCTGCAACGTCAAATCGCGCACCGTTTCATATATCACTCGATGTGTTTGGATCACTTTTACCCACTTTTATAATTTATGCAATACGGAGCGTCCCGGAATCGCTGCGTTCGGAACGGCTTCTGGCACGCGACGCTACATCAGTGTTGCCCGCAACTCATCTTACAGGGTTCCTTGAATTATTCTTGAAATGTCGTATCAACACAACTTGGTGACATAATTACGCTGGCTTTGTTGTAAAAAGCAAGGAGATTGTAATTTGTAAATATTTTAAGTGAAATGGAGTTTAAAATAAGTAATTATTAATTTCAGAAGATATTAGAAGTCTGCTTTAGTGTAGTCTATACTTTATAACATTATAAAGAAGGAAGATTAGTATTTTTGTAGGTAAATAACTCAAAAACTACTTGGCCGATTTCAAAAACTCTTTCAATATTAAAAAGTTACGTTATCAGTCAGTAACATAGTATATATTTTTTAACTTGACGCGTACGAAGTCACGAACAACAGCTAGTTACATGCAAAAGTAGACATAAAAGAAAAATCATTGTTAACCTAGCAATTAAATCGTTAAAGACGCGCTAATACGTTACAGCACCTGCTAAAACAATCCAAACAGCAAGAGAAAGTCAGGCGACCAAGTGACGATAACAAACGCCTTGTCCGATGTCTCTTAAACAGAATATTGATGCGATAAAACCGCTTTAATGCTTATAGAGACGTGCGCGCAGTACAAACACATTGCGATCGACGGCTGCAGTGCTTGGCATTCCACGATCGAAGTGATTACATTCGCCCATAAGCCCTTGCTTAATCATGTGAAACTAAGGGCTTCATTGATTTGTTAACACGTACATTTGAAAGTGCTTAGTAGATGGATGGACTTGTGGTACACATAGGATTATAACAAAGTGGCGTGTCTCGAATTTAGGCAATTCTAAAATGCCAAATTACGGCGTCCAAAGGTACGTGTGTCTCGTTTGTCGTTCAATTTGTACAACGGCTAAAACACATTTCCTCTCTAGATAGTAGAAGTATACCTTCTTGGTTATGACACATCTCTAGACATTTTGATAGAAGATATAAAATTACATCGCTAATCTTTTATTATTACTGTTATTGTATAGAAAGGATGAATGAGAGATAAGGGAATTTATGATGAGAAAGTAATTGGTATAAAGTTGGCAGGGTACCCCGCGGGCGAACATTTAGCGACGATTAATGACTTACAGAAGAAAGGCGATAAACACACAACCCAACGATTGCACCTAGATTTATCTAGAAGAAACTTAGATTTATTTGAATCCTATGAAAAGAAAAATGGTGGATGATTTAAGACTTTAATTCTGACCTAATACCATCCTATAATTTTATGTCTCAAGAATTTCAATGTTGCAAACTGATCTTGTAAGTTGACAAAATGTAATCGCATTTACGTAATTATGGACAATCATACTAATATTATAAATGCGAAAGTTTAGATGGATGGGTGGATGTTTGTTTGAATTTGTAGTCAAAACGGCTGAAAGGATTTCGATGAAATTTGATACAGACGTAGAGGAAAGTCTGGTAGAATACATAAGCTACTCACTTTTTTTTTAATTCTACGCGGACGGAGTCGCTGGCGAAAGGTAGTAAAAATATAAAACACTATCAAGTTAACTACTCCAACACTTATAGGAGTAACAATACAAATATTTTGTATGAGGTTAAATTAGCTATCAGTCAGTCGAATAGAGAGAGCGTTCATATCTTTTTGACGTCATAAAACTCTCACATAACGATAGATAAGTGTGGAATTAGCGATATTACATTATCGTTTGAGTCATTTACGCCCGTTGCCTAAAAGTGATAGGTAAGAAGTGAAAGGGCTCGTAATCACTGTGACAGGAGAATAGATTTCTTTCAGATCTGTTGTGGTATCATCACGTTTTTATTACGTCATTATAATTATTATGACTATTGGTTTCTAATGAGAAGCAATTGATATTATAGCGAGTACAAGTAATAGTGGTTCTATTGATTTGTAAGTCGCAGTTCAGCTATAATCAATGAGTAACATTTTTTTACTTTATAAGACTGATTGCATATAAACAAACATAAAAGGTATTTTTTTATATTCTGCGCTGACGAAGCCGCGAGCAAGAGCTAGTAGAAAATAATAAACCACCAGTTTTTTAATCTTTATCCAAAATAGTTTACTATTAATACACAACCTAACATACTATATTAGTTAATATGTGTTAATTTACTACTACAAGAGTCGTAAGACGATCATAGTGAAAGTGTAATGTAGCCTAACGCAAACAATGCTATATAACATCCGAAATTGAATAGACATTACAAAGAGCCTCAGCTGTTACTATGAGTCAGGTAGAAAGGCAGGTTCCCAGTCGACAAATTAAATGTTATTCAATTTGGGCCTAACAGGTGAAACAAAGGCGCATCTTGTGACGTAACATCCACGTAAAAGCTCTGGGAACTAACAAGTGTATTAAGAATTTAATAGAAAGAGAATTTAATGCAAAGTGAGGAATAAAAGTTCCCACGTAATAAGTTTACATTTTGGAATACTGATGACAGTTACATAGTGAGGTTAAGTCTTTAGTTACGTGATAAGCAGACCACGATTTATACTCTAACTGCCCTAACTTTTGTTGTTATGTTAACATGTTGCATATGTAAATGAAAAGATTTGTAAAAAAAAATAAAAACTAAATATTTTTTACATTAAATTTTTTTTGGCATTAAACATTTGCGTCTTCATACAAATGTGGGCGGATACAATGTACTCGTATGATTGTCATGTACATGTCAAATTAAACAATTGTAAAATCGAAAATTTGAATTAAATAAACATATGCAATTGAGGTTATATTAATAACTTCTCTTGCGATATGTCTAATTAGCGATAAACTGACCACAAACACTTTTTGTCATATATTGTATATCACTTGTGAATCGACCCGGAACATGCAGTCCTGTGTGCTAACCTGTATCTTTTTTAATAACAAAAGGCGGCAAATGAGTAAGCGGCCACCTGAATCCACCAAAATGGCGAAGTATTTAATTTCGCCCTTCATTAACAGGAGTTCTTCTGCCTAAAGTGCCAACTCAAGCTCCCGGCTTTGTATTATAACTGCTAAGCTAACGGCCGAATACTAAAAAATCATTTAAATAAGTAATTTAAGACGCTGTCTTAAATTATATGCCTACACCACTCCAAATTCCTTTCAAAATTTGACTTCAAATTGTAATTCGAAGTATTTAAGATTCGTTTCAGTAGCCGACAGTCTCTATATATTTTTATCGACCATTTACTGCTATGTTTTAGGACAAAAATGGTTTTACGAACTAACTGTGAGAAGTGTATTTAAAATGAATTCAATAAACAGCATTCCCTTGTTATTGGAAAGCATAGGAAAGTGAATTGAAAGCAATTCAACTAAAATCGAAGTTACAAAAGAAACGTACGATTATCAACTTTATGTAAACACAATAAAGATTAAAGGCGTTTCTTGTCATGCTATGGCATTAACCTGATCTTAAATTAGATTCTGCAAGTCCTTTTATAGAGACATGAAATTATTTTATAACCTCACTCTTGGAACTACATTTAAAAACACGTATAACTGTTTTTATGTTGTTCTTGAAAGCTTTGAATCGAAATAGAAACACGTTATTTTTTAAATGTAAAAACAAATTAATAGAAATATATTCTGCTAACTATTTCTATGACTATCTTATAGGTGGTTTCTACATTAAACCATTTTTAGTGTTTTTGGTTCGTTAAATTCATGAAATGCGTTTCCGAAATACGTAACTTGAGTTTTACTCCTTTGAAACTTAGTCAACGTAACACTAATGGTTCATTAGGTAATTTATACTTCTATACTAATATAATAAAGCGTAAACACACACTTCTTTGTTGTCTAAGAAGTCAGCAATTACAGCATATTTTTAAATAATTTTTTTTTTTTAATAAAAAGCCCTACAGTTACGGCACGCTTTAGGCTATATACTTTCATACTAAATATTTTGGACGAAATCCTAATGTGGGAAAGAGACCATAAGTTGATACCAACATTAAGAAAGCAAGATTGCCTAGGTTTGTCATGTTATGTCATTTTGAAATTTGCAATTGACAATTTATCAAATGTAAAAAATAAAATTTTCATAATTTCATGAGGATGAAGCCGCACGGGAACTGAGCTGTTCCCGTGCTAAAGCAACTCAGCATTAATCTCTTTCAAAATAAAGAGAAAACAATATTCTTCGTATACATGTTTTAGCAGTGGAAAGTAACGGTTACTCTATTGTATTACAGTACTCGAGGTTCAGAAATGCAGTAGAACCATTGGCCAAACTGTAAATCAAACATCATTACGGCCTTCAATACATACATATTAAGCGAGCTTGTATTGGATCAGAATAGATATGTAGTTAAGTTTTTTTAACCCTAGGATGCTAAAGTTTCCATTTATTTTATAAAGCTGTTGCTCACGACTTCGCCCGCGTAAAATTAAAATAAAAATGGACTATGTTATTCAAAGATAACGTGGCTTTTTAATGATGAAAGAATGTTTGAAATCGGCCCAGTAATATTTGAGTTATTTCAATACATACAAAAACATTAACATAAAATATCAATAGATAACACTAACGAATGGTTAATTGTAACTGAGAAACCGGTCATAAGGAAATTACGCACTTTTGTATAGAAGAAAAGTTAAAATGTAAACAGAGATTATGGTTTTCCATATGTTGTTGTCCTAGCATTTGGCACATGTAAGCTTTCTTACTAGAATTATATCGAACCAAAATAATAACGAGATTTTAAACACACAATCAACGCTAAATTAAACTAAAAAACGGCCGATCATTCTGTACCATGCAGTGCCAGGATGCCACAGAGTAGTTAGATGTGGATAAGAGCTCGCCACCGTTCAACGCGGAATTCCCGGTATCCGAATGATTCACACTGCCCTGTGTCCATATCATTAAATGGCTCGATATTACCTTTGTATATCGTTGCAAACAATTGTTCTATACGTTATCAAACTTTGTTACCACAAACATCTGACTGATCATACATGTAGTAAAGAGGTTTATTCCCAACCGTCAACCCGCT